ATTGAGGTAGATGTTCTAAAAAAATGATGAAACTGATTGCTAAGTGCCTATAAGTAGTTTACTTGAGAGCCTTGAAGGCCTTTGGCATGGCGCATTCGTCAAGGTGATGCACGTAATCCATCATTTCCTGAAGAGAAGCGATTCATCATAATCTAATTAAATTCAGAAATCAATAGGCACTTGTTAATCTTTTCAAATGGTGTATTCCTGTAAAGGTTCACTGTAATGAAATTTCCTGTGCAATGACAGCAAGATCATATACTGCGTATGCGGGCATGATAGAAAGTTTTTAAAAAATGTGAGATTCCTCCGTTGAGATGTACAGTGAAAATGCGAATTCCTGCAGTTTGTAATCAATCCTTTTTGGGTGCAAGGTCATTCTTTTAGCCTAATAGAAGCCACGTTCTCATCAATGCAAATATTCAATGCTGCTACTCAATTCTTTATAGCTAAGGTAGTCTTTGCTATGGCGACATGATAAATGCTACGCCGCGAGTGCCCTTCCACATGACCACGTTCTCATCATGGCCAATTAAATAGAAACATCACGACAAACATGCCTCTTTACATAACGCAAAAACCGTAGTGTTTACAAAGGCTACTCATGAGCTCTGTGCAGTACAGTGAACACAAAATAAACTTTTGTAAAACGACAACGAATGCTAGTAAGGAGTGAATAAGAACTACGAGAGCTATAAAAATACTTTTGTAGGACTTCGTCTATATCAAAACTAGGAAACTAATTGGTTTCTATTCTTAATGTTCACAAAAGGGGACAAATGCTTCCGCATAATGATAAACTCCACATCAACTTTTCTCAAAACATTAGAGACTAGTTTTCTGACATCTCTAATTCTCTTCAAAAGCCTGTGAAGAAAGAACTCTAAAAAGCTTTATCGTCAGAGAAATATTAATGTTTGACAAAACCCGGTATTTTAATTGTCGACACCTTCTAATCCTTCAACATGATAATAAAACAAAGTAATAAGAAACTCCTTACCTGATGACACGATTCCTCTGTGTTGCTTCGGCCGTTCACGCGATCATTGCATTCCTCTAATGCGGCCTTCAGGTTTTCCACATGATCAGCGCAACGTTCACGCCATTGAGTTAACTGATCAACACCCTCTTCAAGAGGCTCAGCTTTATGTTCTGGCATTAAGCTGAAAAGAAGACTAATTTTCAATTAAGTCGAACATAGACTAGAAGAAGAGTGAGAGCGAAACCGCTGTACATGCAGTGTTAGAACTGGCATAGAAAAACAGCATA